GTGCATCTCAATTTCATTATTTCTCCCAATGAAACAAAGAATATATAGAACTCAAGCAACAAGTTTGTTTAATTTAGCCACACCTTAATCCCTCCAGCTTGGGCTAGCTCCTCATCAGCCAACTTGTACTAAGCATAACCCAATCAGTTCTCTTGCCTTTTAGGTTCTGACCCAAATGAAACAAGAGTGTCTTCATTAAATCTCGTCATGCTACCACATGGTGTTACCCTATTGGTCTTCATCGACCGGTTGCATTGCTTTTGACCCGATGGCTTGAGGATGTAGGGCGGAAGCAAAAGCCTGAAAGCGAAGAGAAAGAGGAGTGAATGAGGAGGAAGATGAAGCCAGATTGGCACTTATTTGGGATGAAAATCCAGGTGCAGAGAGAAACCTAGTCAAGATGGATGTTCCACGAGCGATACATGTAAAATCTATATGATCCCAACTCATTTATCATTCTAATTTCCTGGCGTGCTAAAATTTGGAAATGTAAACAGACATATGAAGATTTGAGAATCTAATATAAAACTTCAGGACAAATTTGGGTATAACATGACAAAAACTCTATTAAATATACCATCACATTTCATTGCCTGATGCATAGGGGTCAAATAAATGAATAACAAATGCATTTCTCAACTCAAATTTCATCAATAAGGAACGAAAAGGAAGAGGCAAGTGATAGTCAAACTAACAATGACTGAAGTAGAAAATGATGGGTAGCAATACGATTTTTCCAAGGGGACCTACTGAGGTGCAATCTTTCTCAAAATTGCTGTTTATAAAAGATGAGTCCACATGCACAAACATAATGTATTTTGATATTGTGAAATGTTTTATTCGATATTTGCTTCTTAATCAGATGAGTTGCAGGTCATTCCATTTTGTTGAATGTGAATCTTTGCTAGATATATGCTTTTTCGAGATTCATCCTCTTATGTAGATGCATGTATATTTAACATATGTTCCATTTTAGGAAAAAACATCATATTATTACTTTTACAAGTACAGTAGCAAAATCAGTGCTCGTGAAAATATATCCTAAGAAAGTTCACTTTGTGTAAAATCAATGCACATGAAAGTATATCCTAAGAAAGTTCATTAGGTTCACCTTTTATTGTTTCTTCCATAGGTCATGCATTATCACTTAGATGTGATGCATTCTGATTGCTCTGAGTTGGGTTCTGAGAATTTTTTTCAAGTGTAAATATTAGTGAAAGTGGAAAGTAGATCAAACATTTCAAAACTGTTTATACATTAAGATCCACTGGAGAGGCTAGAAAAGCAGTTATATCTGAAAATGATATCAAAGTCATCTATTTGTGATTCATGTTGTGGAACGTGGTATAATTAATGATCCTGAATAGAATTCAATTGCCGTTAATATATCTTTGAAGTCCTCTTTGAAGTCCTCGTTTGACAATTTTGTATACCTAGTAATCCACTGTGACTAAATTTATTGTGCATTTCCTACCAAAAAAAAAAGCATTGAAAATTGAAACAAGTTCTGTATCTTTGTTGAGAGTGTCTTTTTTTAACTGGAATTTGCCGCAACCCATAAATTCCTTGTTTTGTTCCTAAACTTGAGCTCTATGTTTGTATCAGTATCCAGTATATTTAGTTGACTACCGTTGACGGAATCAATGGCGACGGAGACCTCAAAAGAGATGTTGCAGCTTCAGACCTCGAAGCGCAAAATTTCCGCTTTTCTTTGTACAATACACCGTTACTTCTTTTAGGGCCCTAGCCAGCTAAAAGGTGTTATGTTGAGAGTTCTGTAACTAGTCACCTGATTTCATGCTTCAGAAAATTGCATGTAACTAGTTGTATGTGCCGTTGGTTATGTATTTATCGAACACAAAATTTGTATCTTTGAAGGTAATCTTATGGTGTCGTTAAATATTATTTACCTATGTTGAGGGAACCTATGGCTTGAAATTGTGTTTTGCGAGGAAGTTCATTTTTAGGGATGAATTTTTGCGGATGTCAATTATATCACCTATATCGGAGCCGAGGCATTTGTCCCGGCGCTATATCCTTTTTCAAGTCTTTTAGTTTGGTGGCAAGATTAAGCTGAAAACTTTGGTGCGAGGGTGAATTTGAAGAAGCTGACCAAGGTGAAAATTGTTCAATCTTCATAGTTGTTTGGCTGCCGACCAGCGACCACAAGATGTATTTTCAAAAAGATAAATAACACGGAATATAAAGTCCTATCAATAGTTCGGTTGACTCTATCCGGGACGTGGAGTTGTAATTCAAAAACTTTTTTAAAGAGGTTAATTGTATAAATATATTTTTTTAAAACTGCCCATTTTATACGTCGGCTCATAACTATCCCGTAATATTTATGTGTTTAGCAAGAGTAACTCGCATTTGACTTTCCCAACTGAAAAGTTCTGCACATGGAATAAAAAGAATTAACTCGTCTTAATGCATTAACTAAAAAAATTATAGAATCACTAAGATAACTCATTTGACAGGTTAAAAAGAAGGGTAATTACAGGTAACTGCCCTCATTTATACGGTCAAATCTATCCTTTTAAATGAATTAATAACACATTATTATACATGATTATAATCCAGTCTCTTCCCCCAAACAAAAGAAAAACTCAAGAATAATATACCTTTATCTAAATATTAAATAATTATCCTTATTTATTTTTAAAATAAATCTATATCTATATCTATATCTATAGTACTACAAAAAGAGGATTGAGGTGTTAAAACTTTTAGTTTTCTTTGCCCACTCAAATTTTGATAAATTTTAACTATGTCATTTTCTCTAATTAATATTTCATTATATAAATATAATCACTTAATAATTATGCACCTCCTCGTCTACCTAAATAATTATACTTATTAATAATATATAATTATTAATAATATTATAACTATTAATTGTTTAATAATAATATAATATAATAATTTATAAAATAAGTATATACAATTATTAGTAACCAATTAAATTATTACTATAATATTTATTTATGAATTATAATAAAATAATATGGTACTAAATACTACTAGGAATTATACTATAATTTAATGAGTGTTGAAATCTAGAAGATAAGATGAATGTGGACATTACTTGAATATGAACAATTAATTAGATGACTCTTCATTAGCCCATGTCCTTTAGTCTTCTTATTATCCATCTATATAATGTATGTCATGGACTACAAAATATATGGAGGAATAAGGAAGATGAATAAAATGAGAATCACTTTTCTCCCTATTTCTTCTCTTGTCTATTTACATTTACATTTCATGTTTGATTCTTACTTTTGATATATATGATGTATGTAGATATAACAACAAGATTACAACACGTTATCAGCACGAAAGCTCTAGCTAGCCGATTCTTAATCGTCCGTTGGTGGTAAGAGATATTTCGGTGTACACCTCTTACAAGGTAACAATACATAATACATTTGACCTTTGTTTATTTACAAAGTTTTATTTTTTCATTATCGGTTGATCGATTATGCCTCTGTAATAATGCATGAGCGAATAAATTTACAAGAGTCGTTATGATGAATAGTTCTTGAATTGCACAAAAATTGATTGACAAAGAACTTTAGGAACTGTTAAGAGGTTTGTTCTGTTTGAAACATATATAAAAGAACAAATATTCAATATGTATAAACATATAAAGCCTTCATACGGATTAATATAAACCTAATAGTTCTAAATCTACCAGTTATAAAAGTAGAAGATTATCACAAACACAAACATCGGTAGAGGCTTTAATACTTGTAGAACGATTGCATGGTTATCATCACTATCACAGTGCATATTTTATGCAAAGAAATTGGTTAATTCATGGTGCTAACTTTGATTTACATGTTTCATATGCAAAGAAATCCGTTAACTCATAAGCTAACTTCTATTGGTTGATCGATCATGCATCAAGTGCTTGTAAAACTAACATTTCAAGATAAAAATAAGGATTTCATGATCCATGAGTTGAGTTATCCTCAAAATCGTGGCTTAAAGTATCTACAGTTGAAAATTCATATGCATTGAGTAGCTCACAGATCATGAAGTTAAAAATTCATAATTTAGTCTGATTTATTACATCAAAACAACTTTGTTAGAAATAATCTTATACTTCAGAAATCATTGATAATTAGTTCACCCATCAACATCAAGTTCTTGCAAGTTTCCCCCACCTGAGAACCAACATATGAGGACTAAGAAGTTGAATCTGATAGTTCCCATATACCAATGCAATAGCCATGACTAGATAATCCATACATTAAAAATTGTTCTTACTCATGTCTCAGTATCAACATGATAATGATGAGGCCAATCACCATATACTCCAAAGTTTCAACATTTGACTCTAATGTTGGGTACCTTTTTCTGTAACTTCTTTGTACGAGTTTAACTTCTGTTATGTCTATAGCTAGGCTCTCTCTAGATTTAGCTCTTGTATTCACCCTTTTCTAAGAAATACTGAACTACTTTCCAGTTCAATGTGGCTAATATCCAACCATAAGATCACAAGAGATGACTTATTGAAAAGTTTGTGTATGACATTCTTATATCCAATTTTTATATTTTTGTAGCATGTTAACTATTATTTCCTAAAAGATTAAGCCTAACATATGAAGCCATCGATTATCATTCAGTTAATATCTTGGAAAATTTTAGAACACTTCTAGTTTTTGTTTCCTAAATGATTATAAAAAAAACATACAGTAAAAGTACTGCATCTCTTGAATTTTCCAAATGCTATCAATGCTTATAGACTAGTGCTATTGCATTAAATGTGATGTTGAATTTTTCCAAATGCTATCAATGCAAGCAACGGTTAAAGGATGTCAAATCTTTTATAAGTTTGAGATAGAGTCTCTCTTCTAGGTATACAAGTGTTATAGAACACGTGAATATTTTTGTACATGTGAATATTTCTAATTTCTCATGCACTAATCTTTCGTCCCCATGATTAGTGCAATGTGATATATGATAGTAATTATTACTTGTCTTTGGCCTCAAACGTTCATTTTTACTGACACCCTTGTGATTTTTGCACGATTATATCTCTTGATTATTTAAGTATCTTTGTCCAGAAGGCAAACACTTTAAATTTTCTCTTTATCAATTAAGACGTGAAAAAAATTAATGTCTCACTGAAAAAATATTTATTTTTCTGGGCAATCCCTGAAGGATCGCTTTGATATATGAAAGCCAATAATCTTCCCCCAAACGCTGGCAGACTGAATCATAATTTTTTGAATTTTAAATACATGACTAAATATGATTCAACCATGTGCCATATTGTCTAGCGGGTGAAGCTCGCAGAATTGATCGAAAAGATTTTTTTTCTCATTCCATGCAAGTAGTATTGTACTCCAGTAGCAGTACATGGCTAAAAATTATGTCAAGCGTTCTGCTTTGGTATCTACATTTAGAGTTGCAGAGAATCACAACAAATTATTGATGAGAAATCACAATGTTAGACTAGTTGGCTTACGAGTTGTGTTTGTAGCACATGCTACAATTCAAAAAATTACTTATACGCGTGGACAAGGGGGAGACTATGAACATAGTAGGAGATCTTATCATGTAGCCATTTTTGGATTTTTAAACCCTCGACTGAATACAATTCAACAAGTAACCTTGTATTCTTACAATAGTACAACTAAAAATTATATTAAGCATTATGAACTAATCCTTGTATTAGTAGTTGTTAAAAACACAACCAGCTGTTGTGAGAAACCATAATACAAGTTTAACTGGTTCACACGTAGTACCTGAAGCACATGTCATAATTCAAACTAATATTCATAAGCTTGGACGAGGGGGAGGTAGTGGACATTGTAGTGGATCTTATCGAGGTGGTCTAGGTAAACTATTTGGTTTTTCTATATTTGGATTATATGCATTTGTCAGATAATTTTAATTTATCTTGAGTTTGCTTTAAACTCTTGTGAACCTATGTGGTTTTTATTCATATGTGTATACTTTAGAATTTGTCTGACCTAAAATACACCATGTTGCGATGATTTTTGAGATTTAGAGACTACTTTAGAATTTGTCTGACCTAAAATACACCATGTTGCGATGATTTTTGAGATTTAGAGACCCAAATTCTTTTAAATTCTGGCATGAGCTATTGGGTCATCTTGGATAAAATATGATTTGTCGGATTTCCTTAAATTAAATGGAGCATTCAAATCAAATCCGACCAACTGCATATCATAATTTCCCCTTTATCTAATACGTGGTGAAGAAGCAAAACATTTCTCATTTGTGTATTCTTTATTTGCAGTCCATGTTTTTATATCACCACCATAGCATACCTCTATGGGATCTCGGTGAAGGTACATACATTATTTATGAAACTCCGTCAATAGTTTACTACCTAAGGCCCATGTTAGGGAATCAATTTACATTTTGGTACGCTGATTGTATTTTTATTGAAGATCAATTCTCGACATTAGGGGGAGATTAGTGCCCAAAATACAAAATAATATCAAGAAATTCTATTGATGAAAAAGATCTTCAATATTTATATCCACATACTAGTCAAACTGAACCAGAAGTTCACATGACAATCTGCTAAGAAAAGAGTGACTAAGCCCCGTATCCATGTTGAGTATATCATAGATGATTTGGCACACCAGAAGCATACTGTGCCAGAAGCATATGAAACATGTTAGTGTAAAAGATAAAAGTCTGCGGTAAACTAAATTCTATATAGAAAGACAGTCACTCCCATAACCTCCGGAAGAGGTTCATCCTGAAGATGGAATCTCCAGTAAGTTGCACGTGCTTGATAATCATAATATTGGATATGAGGAACGGCCAAATCCAATTGTTAAGGGAAATAACGAGGATTTGGTTGACATAAAATAAGAATTAAAGTGGCCACGAATTTGTGAAAAAGGAGAAATATATAATAGAA